TGGGGATAAGGCTTATTCTATGACCTCTAAACTAAGATGCACAAGAAATAAGCAGCTACTTGTGACCTTATTTGCCTGTTTGGTTTTGCAGCTCACCTCTGAACTCTCTTGCTGATTGTCTTCATCTTCTGACAGATCAACTCTGACATCTGAGGCGGCTGCTGCGCCGGGGCTGGAGATGCTGAGGGTTGAGGCTCCAGGATTTGAAGACAGCAGATCGGCGGCTTCCTCAAACTCTGGAAACGTGCAGAATGAAGATTAAAGCAGAAAGACAGAGAGACCAAACAAGATGGTGCATATAAGCACATAAACCTTACCCTGAAACGTTAATTCATGTGGACTAGCCATGACTGGAGATTACAGGATTCCTAGGGAGTTCTCATAAGAATACTATCTGCGCGGACAGAAGACAATAAACACAATATAACCACCAAAATCAGATTTAGACTAAGTTAATTCGCTCACCTGGCTGCAAGGTAATCCTGACTCCATCTGGCAACTCGAACAATCAAGCTTGCTTCGAGCAAGCAGGCACAAAAACAATTGTTTCGTCAGCCTGGATTGTATTTAGTAGTGCCTTTTTACTAACTGAGACTTAAAAAACCAATAGCCGATTCGACAGTAGCTAGAGATTTTACGATACCGCAGGGATTTATCGTTTTTGTCCCCATATTCCACGTCACCTGCAGGGTTCCAGTGCGTCGAAACACAATCACGTGACCGGAACAAAGCCGGAATTAAAACTGGAATGTTTTTACCTGTTTTACCTGTGTTTTTTTTATGTGTCGTTTCTATTATTTTTTTGTTGTTGTTTTAATTAGGCTGCTTTGCTAAAAAAAAAAACCGATTTCTCGACTGTCATCTTTTTTCATTCGACAGTCATATTTATTAATGCATGTATATGAAATTGTCAGAAGTGTTGTGAAATAAATTCATAGCGCATAAGGATATTTGCTTGTCAAATTCTAAATTCAGATCCAAATATTTGAGACAAATCATTCTAGACCTCTCTTTTTTGTTTAACATAAAAACTTTTAAAACATGATCTGTTTGCAATTCCTTTCCCGTTTTAGTGACATGGCTCATATTCATAAGAATGCATGGTGGATCCGAAAATACAATATTTTGTTTCCCCACCGGGCAAATAACATTACACGTACCGTGCTTTTCGCCATTTTGGCTCATCAGTTTCACCAGCCTCCGTTGCAACGTTGAGCCAGTATTGGAAACTGGCGGCTGGAAGCTCTTCCTGTGCTACATCCACCGTGTACTGTGAACTGTCACACTTCGTGAGTTCATTCGCTATTAACATGGCCGCCTCGTGGCTGCTGAAGAGATGGTGCTCCACAGCTGCAACAGAGACAACCAAGGGCACAAGGTGGCAAAGATTGATAAACAGTCGCGCAGGTAAGACTAAGCCACGGTTATAGTTTTTGCTTCTGACATAAGTATGAAGATACTGTTCGTATTACAATTAGGAGGTCCGTCAGAGTGCACAATTGAGTGCAGGCGTGTTAATTTTTTATCTACGAAAATACAGCTGTATTAGGTTGCTAACTAGTTTTCTAAATCTGTTGTAGTGGCATTAAAATATCATTTCGTATTGCTTTAGTATTTTCTTATTGCATTATCTTTCATACAATATGTGGTAATTCGAAAATTGTATTAGCTGAACGTTAATCTGCTATTTCTTCACTGTTTTCAGGTGTATGGTGCCGTAGTATTTTAAGCGATTATAAGGAGGCTTGTCGTGAGGCAGTGCTTGGGGCCCGGGAGCGACCCCTTAAAGCCTCCGTCTCCTTGGGGCTTCTGGGAGGAATGTACGCCTGCTATTATACCAACCCTGATGATGTCTCCTTTGAGACCAGCCTGCTAGAAACCTCCAACCGTCTGGCTCTGCTGTCTCCATGGATACGCAGTGGCACCTCAGATGGACACGTCCAGACCCTTGTGAAACTGCGAAACGAGGGCAGGCTGCGCTATGCCAGTCTGGGCATTGCATCTTTGACTTATTACACAGAGTACGACTCCGAGTCCAGCCTGTATGAGGCGTGTTGCTCGGCGATCTCTGTGCCCTGGGTAGAACTGCCAAAGCGTGTGCTGGATGTGGGCTTTACGGGCCGCTGGTGGGTGCTTGATCATAAAATGATGGATTTTGATATAAATGAGGAGGAGTTCAAACATCTTCAACCTGCTTTGGTGGCAACAGTCCCACCGTCACCCCAGATAACAGAAAGGAATGAAAGGCTGCATCAGGAATCATGGAAAGCCGTGGTGATGGAAGATGAGAGCGATGAATTAGATGGTATACAAAAAGCCATGGACACACCTGTTAAAGGAATAGAGAGCAACACAATAAACAAAGCACATACTTCTTGATCAGTGTGTTAGCTTTAATGCTGTATCTCGCATAAAGATGACCCTGAAGAAACATGCTTGCTAGAATCAGCTGTTGATAAGAAATGAAAAGTAAAGGACACATTAACGGGAATCATTATTATATTATGTTTATGGAAGTAAGCAATATAATAATGTAGACTTGTCATTTTTACTACAAAAAATTGTGCAAGTAAGTGTGATTGGTTGACTGCAAATGTATTAAATCAACTGCAGTGTATGCTGACCTTGTTTTATGCGACAGAATAGCACTACATAAACTGATCAAAAATATAACTTTTATACAAACTTAATAATACGACAATTTTTATACAATAATTCTCAATCTGTGAGAAAGAAAAGCAAGTTTTTTTT